ACAGCTATAGCCATTCTCGTGCCAAAAGAAACGGCCTACTGCATGAAATCCATGTTCTTCATCCTGAACCAAGCTTGCCCCGAGCCTCCTTGCCACATCTGGCCTCTATCCTACTTGCCCAGCGTCCTGATGCTGCAAACCCTCACTCTAGCTGTACATTCATAAGGACTCTTGTGTCTCTTTTCTACGTTAATATCTAAATTTCTTCATCCTGGCACTTTTTCTTTTCTTTCTTCTATTCCACCTTGCCACCTAGTATATTAAATAGCTTGCTTAATGGTGAGCACTGTGATTATTAGGATGAAAAAAGCAATCATTTAAATGTTGTGAGCAGATTTTGTCTGGGAAGAGAAGAGTCTTCATAAATCCTTCAGGGATGCATTGTTTTTCTCTTGTTTTGGGAAACCATGTGGTTGCACTCAGGAAGATAAGAATCCACACAAGCTTCTTGGGGGAGAATTATAAGGAAACCATGGAGCTGAAGGTAGATGTTCTAGTTGGAGAAGCTGAGCGTTCTGTTTGGTACATCATGTAGAAGCTGAGCTTTCAGTTTGGTATATCATGTAAATGTGATGTCAACAGCTGCGTAGGAGTCCAGTAGGGAGGTTGAGAATGTTTCTTGAGTTGCAACAAATTTATCTGACCCTGTATCTGAGGTTGGTTTGTTCCTGCAGAATGTATGAGATTTCTTTATTGAGAGCTGCTAATAACAGCAAACAGTTGCTACACACTTACCATGTGCCAGGACAGAGAGAAACCCTTGCAAGGATTAACTCCCATAATCCTCACAACTTTAGGATTTTTCAGAGGTGGAGGAGAAGGCTCAGAAAAGTTAAAGCTGATGTCCTACTAATTAGAGGCACAACCAAGACGTGAACACCAGGAGTCTGACTTCACAGCCTATGTTCGTAACTGCCACTCTTGGAGTGTTTGATTTAAAAAAAAATCTCTTCCTTTACATTTTCTTCTTTTAAAAAAGATAATTAGTATAGAGTATATGCTTTTTATTTGGGAATGCAAACTCAAAAACAGTTTACTGGTAGGGATACCCAATCTCATTTTGCCACTTTTTCATATGCCATCTTGCATTAGTTTGCTCCTTGTTTCATAGTCACAGGTATTTCTCCCAAGGAATCTGAAGTGTCCTTAAAGGTAGGGATTGTGTCTTAAACTTCTATTCTAGCTCCCACAGTAGGCCCAACTGTATCCTCCCTAAATACTCCTTGAATTGAATTACTGGTACTCCAATGACCTTCTCCCTCTGAAGCAAAGCAAAGCTAGTGAAAATAAATAGAAATACAGTGGATTTCTAGAGATTCTGAGGAAGGCTGAAGCTGCTTCTAAGCACTGCAAATAGAACTCGGTAACTTAAAAATAATTCTTCTATACAAGTATGAGAAATGTTACTGCAGACTCCCAGAGGGGTATAATGATCTGAACTTACAAATAAGACACCAAGATGAAGTAGGGTTTTGCTGCCCAGGGAACTCAAATTGCAGCTGGGTGAAGATCAGTCAGCTCACAGGTGGTTATATAGTCCGTGCTTTGGCTCCCTCTGTCGGCAGAAAGGAAGAGGTTTGTCTGTTTTTACCTGTAGGAATTCTTGGTGCGAGTTGTGTGATGGCTGTTAACTGCATGTAATATTGCCTGAGAAAATTCAGCTCTTAGATTTAGGAAAGGGGATGAGAAAACCTACTGGATCTTTCTCCTTAGATGGAAACTAAATACAGGTTTTCATTCCTTTTACATGCTAACATTGCTGCCTCTAAAACCAGACTCACTACAAACCACTTATTGTCAGAGAACATACACAGCACTTGTTCTGCCATGGCTTTCCCAGGCATCTAATTGTAAGATGTAAAAAAGCACACCTTGATTGCTCACAGAGTTGGTCATACAAGCCCTGGTCTTCCCACACTGTCTGGTAACCTTGTATCTTGGTAATGTTTTCCATGACAAAGACAAGGGGTTTTGATCTGAACTACTGAAAGCAATCAAATATCTAAAAATTACTTGCTTGATTTATTAAATGGAATTAAGGACAAACACATCTTTCCTTAACATGTGATTTCTTTTTCTATTCCCCCTTCCCAGACCTTTCATGTATGAGTCTGAACTGTTAATCATGTCAATGATTCATCATTTGTAATTTAGCTCCAATGCTCCCAGAATTCCTCTGTATGGTATTCCAAGGAAACATTAAGCCATTCCAATTCCAAGGACTAGTGAAGACTTCAAGATGCCACTAATGCCTGGCACATTTCCAAGTTCAAAAAAGATTAAACAAAAACACTCTGAAGTCATTTGCTATTTTAAGAGTTAATTTTGTATATGTCAGAATTTCTCCTTCCTGCATGTGAGGATATTTATTTCATTAATCTTAAAGGGGGCATAATGATGTTTTACATAAAGTGCTTACTGTCAAGAAACTTGATGTATTGTGGTAAAATGAAACATACAGGCCTGGCATCAGTCTGGGCTCTGGCATTGTTTGGAGAGGCAATGCACACAGGCCCTTAGCATCCTTGCTGAATGTGCTAAGAATGTAAGACCCTGCTCACCTGGGTCATTCTTCCAGGCTGTGTTTGCAGTGAGCAACCTTGAAGGATTAGGGAATGTCTATGAGACAAAGAGCCGGCTTGCTTACTGCTTGCTATGAAATGGTAGGTTCCCCAAGATCAGCATTCCTCTTATGTAATGCAACCCATTTTGTGTCAATCTTCCATCTGAGCCCACCTGCTTATTTCCTGTGAGAATTGGGGTTCAGAGAGCTGACACAATCATGTTAACACTCTGGCGATGATGATAGTCTTTCATCTCTGACCCAGGAGTCCTATGTGTTCTGTCAACATCCATGAAACTGGCAAGAGGTCATAACTGGCAAGTAGGGTAAAATACACATTCTTCAAAGTTCTGTCACACTCCAGCGGGGCCTCTCTACACAAGTCATTCAAACTCTTTAGCTGCAGTTTCCCTTCCTTATAAAGAGGATGATTGTATCTGACTCATAACATTGTAGTGGTTCAGTTCAGTTCAGCTGCTCAGTCGTGTCCAACTCTTTGCGACCCCATGGACTGCAGCACGCCAGGCTTGCCTGTCCATCACCAACTCCTGGAGCCTGCTCAAACTCATGTCCATCAAGTTAGTGATGCCATACAACCATCTCATCTTCTGTTGTGCTCTTCTCTTACTGCCTTTAATCTTTCCCAGCATCAGGGTCTTTTCCAAGGAGTCAGTTCTTTGCATCAGGTGGCCAAAGTATTGGAGCTTTAACTGTTTATAATAGCCAGGACATGGAAGCAACCTAGATGCCCAGCAGCAGACGAATGGATAAGGAAGCTATGGTACATATACACCACGGAATATTACTCAGCCATTAAAAAGAATTCATTTGAATCAGTTCTAATGAGATGGATGAAACTGGAGCCCATTATACAGAGTGAAGTAAGCCAGAAAGATAAAGACCAATACAGTATACTAATGCATATATATGGAATTTAGAAAGATGGTAATGATAACCCTATATGCAAAACAGAAAAAGAGGCACAGATGTGCAGAACAGAATTTTGAACTCTGTGGGAGAAGGCGAGGGTGGGATGTTTCAAGAGAACAGCATTGAAACATCCATATTATCTAGGGTGAAACAGATCACCAGCCCAGGCTGGATGCATGAGACAAGTGCTCGGGCCTGGTGCACTGGGAAGACCCAGAGGAATCAGGTGGAGAGGGAGGTGGGAGGGGGGATCGGGATGGGGAATACTTGTAAATCCATGGCTGATTCATGTCAGTGTATGACAAAAACCACTACAATACTGTAAAGTAATTAGCCTCCAACTAATAAAAATAAATGGAAAAAAAAAAGTATTGGAGCTTTAGCTTCAGCATCAGTCCTTCTAATGAATATTCAGGACTGATTTCCTTTAAGATTGACTGGTTTGATCTTGCAGTCCAAGAGACTCTCAAGAGTCTTCTCCAACACCACAATTCAAATGCATTCATTTTCCCACACTCAGCTTTCTTTATGGTCCAGCTCACATCCATACATGATTATTGGAAAAACCATAGCTTTGACTTGATGGACTTTTATTGGCAAAGTAATGTCCATGCTTTTTAATATGGTGTCTAGGTTGGTCATAGCTTTTCTTCTAAGGAGCAAGCGTCTTCTAATTTCATGGCTGCAGTCACCCTCTGCAGTGATTTTGGAGCCTAAGAAAATAAACTCTGTCACTGTTTCCATTGTTTCCCCATCTATTTGCCATGAAGTGATGGGACTGGATGCCATGATCTTAGTTTTTTGAATGTTGAGATTTAGGCCAGCTTTTCACTCTCCTCTTTCACTTTAAGAGACTCTTTAGCTCCTCTTCCCTTTCTGCCATAAGGGTGGTATCATCTGCGTATCTGAGGTCATTGATATTTCTCCTGGCAATCTTGATCCCAGCGTGTGTTTAATCCAGCCCGACATTTCGCACGACGTACTCCTCATCTAAGTTAAATAAGCAGGGTGACAATATACAGCCTTGACTACTCCTTTCCCGATTTGAAACCAGTCTGTTGTTCCATGTCCGGTTCTAACTTCTTGACCTCCATACAGATTTCTCAGGAGGCAGGTAAGATGGTCTGATATTCCCATCTCTTAAAGAATTCCAGTTTGTTGTGATCTACACAAAGACTTTGGCGTCATCAAAGTGGAGTAAAGTTAAATAAGAAGGCACTGATCCCTACTCTACTCGACCCTTCCTGGGTGCTTCCTCCTTTAGCACTGGGATAGGGTGCGGAAGGCACGATGTAGCTGGGCAGAGTGGAACGGAGTGGACCACTGGGTAGGCAGCAAACGAGCCTGAAGATAGTACAGTAGCAGCCCCGCAATTTCTAAGTAGGCGGGCTCGGAAAACCGCAAGCTGATTGGAGCGGGGATCAAGGGTTTTGTAGGCAGAGGCGTTTGCAGGGCAACCACGCGGTTTTTACTTGGCTCGTCTATTTCAAGTGGCTTTCGGGTCGTACTAATAGGAATTACAGGGAGCACTGAAACCCCAGGTCCCCTCACACAAACCCTTGGATTCGTGGCGACCGCGCCCGTTGGAGCGGCGGGAGCTTACCCAGCCTCTGGCTGCGCCGCCTCCCGGAAACCCCGCGGCTGCTCTCGGGAGCGCGCCCCCCGACCGCTCGCGGCCGCTCACGCATGCTCCCCGCGCTCCCACGTGCGCAGGCCCTTCGCCGCCGCCGCCCACGCAGCCGCGTGCTCTGGCCGCGCGGACTCGGCGGCTACGCTGCGCCCACCGAGCCAGCTGCCGGCGCTGGGACGAGCTCTCGGAGGATGCTGCAGCGCGGGGCGTGTCGTCCCCCTCAGTCCACCAGAGCCCGGATACCTCAGAAATTCGGCTCTGGGTCTGTGGGGAGCGAAATGCAACCCAAACTCCATTTTGCCGAACCCCGCGCAAATAAACACACACAAGCATTCACACAGACGTCGTCGCGACCCGCGCCGCCGCGGCGGATCCCGGCCGCGTGCGGCCAGGCAAGAGGTCGGGACCGGCCGCTAAACGGTGCGACGTAAGTGCCCGGCGTTACCGGCCCGGCTTAAAGGCGCAACTGCCGGCCGGAGGCCTGCAACGCCGGGGCGGGGCCAGGCCGGGCGGAACCGGCCGCGGGAGAGCGGGCAGGCGGGGGAGATCGGAAAGGAAAATAGCCGGGGAGGAAGAGCGCGGGCGTGGTTTGTCCTGCTCGGCCAGGTACGGCAGCTCCCAGGGCGGGTGGGAGACCGGGCTGCGGCTGCGCTCAGACTCACCAGCCCGCGCCCGGTGCCCTCGCAACCTCCCTTTTCTTGCAAGGCTAAGCCGACTTTATTAAAAGGCGGTCGCCGAATGAGGTCGGGCGCCAGCGGCCGATGTTTGGAAGTGCCCTGGCCTCAGTGATACAGACCAACAGTTATGGGGGCGGTGGGAAGGGCGCGGGGCCGTCGCCTCTGGCTTAACAGAGCAGATGCGCGGAAACTCCAACAGGTGGCTCCGTGGCGCAATGGATAGCGCATTGGACTTCTAGAGGCTGAAGGCATTCAAAGGTTCCGGGTTCGAGTCCCGGCGGAGTCGGAGGCTTTTTTTCCCACCCCCTGTTTTATTTTCTACACCAGCCTTTTCTCTCCTTTTCTTAAAGGGTGTACACTCGCCTCGCATTTTCTGCCCGCTCTCCCCACTTCCTTCGGCTTTCTGCAGCTCTTTTTCTTCTAGTTGCTCGCTCCTCTAGTCGATCCCTCCTCCTGCTTCCCTGGCTCGGTGGCTCTGGTCCAGGGCCCTGCCGACTCCGGAGCCTGATCCGGGAACTGGGAAAAGCAGCCCGGGCGGCAGCGAGGCAAGGCCTCGCGGTTTCGGCCTAAGCAGAACGCGGGGTGGCCCCGGACTCGGTTGTTCGGGAGAGCCGGCTCCAGACCCCTTCGCCAGGGGCGCGATCGTGGCTGCTAGGGAGGGAGGGGCGAGCGACGGACAAGGAAACGCGCCCACGCGGTGAGCAGTCCTCCAGCCCAGAAGGCTCCCAGATTGTCACGAACTGGAATCCTCAGAGGGATCCTGTCACAAATGCAGATTTCTGGGCGTCACTCCAGTGAGGCTCAGGAATCTGACTTTCGGATAAGAACGCCTGCTCCTTTCCTCCATGATTCCGGTGCAGAGACCCAAGGTCCACTCTGCCTGTCAGCTCCTCTAGGCATGGCTATCTTGTACCTCTTCTGACAGATTCTTTACCGACTGAGCTACCGGCGAAGCCTTTCTGACAGTTCATATCTTTGCATGAGATTAGGGTTCTACCTCGATGAATGCGAATAAATCAGTGAGTGAACGAAATTTTAACAATGCTGCAACAAACAATTCATGCAAAAAATACAAAATCCCAAATTGTCAAAAGAAAGTACAGGGAAAAGTAAACATCTTTGTTCTTCCTATTTCCCAACCCTTCAACTCTATAAGCCATCAGTGAAAATGGTTTCTTGGAAATATTTTCAGATTTATTTTATGCACATGTCAGCATTTCTGCATCTACCCTCTTTATGTTTGTTGATGTTATTAATGTAGGTGGTTTTGCATGCCATTGGTGGTATACTGTTTGCTAACTCACTTATTAATGCAATAGAACTGCCTTGTTCTATTGTACCTAAGTATCACAATGATTTAATAGTCCCCAATAGTTGGCCATATCACTGTTCTGTATTTTGCTAGTGTTTCAGTGAACATCTTTATTCTTATATTACTGTACACAAGTGCAAATTTATCTGTAGGATAGATCCCTAGGAAATTGAACTGCTGGGTCAAAGGCTTGTTTGTGCATTCTGTGATAGATATTACCAAACTGCTTTCATAGAGATTGTATCCATTTTACAGTCACTAACAGTGATAAAAGTGGCATTTCAAATTTGCTTAGAAGAGGAGGAATGTTCATTGTTAAGAGATTCTGAGACAAAATTCCCACTTCAGTCCTTTTACAGAGGTACATTTCAGATGAAGAAAATACAAATAATATGACCATCAAAAGCACTAAAATAAAATGTGATGAAGTTATTTAATAACTTGGAGCAGTATAACTCCAAACCTAGAAGCCACTAAAAAATCAGTAAATCCAAATACATGGATTTCTGTAAAACAAAAAATAAAACAACATAAACAAAATCAAGACAAACTGGAAAAGAACAATTATAATACATATCACAAAACAGGGCTGGCTTCCTTAGTGTGTAAAGAACTTCAAACCAATAAGAAAATGACCAATGATGACCAAACCCACCACACACACAGTAGGTATCTAGAAAATATATTTGGGTTTGTTTTCTTTTAAATAGATATTATATTTTGGCTTTAACTTCTTTTTTTAAAGTTAAATCTGATAGTTTTATAGACAACCAAGATTCCTATGCTATTTATTAGTTGCACTAAAGTACTCACCTACCTTTGTTTTTATTTTAAAAAATGTTAATTGAAATACAGTTGATTTACAATGTTGTGTACAGTATAGTGATTCAGTTATATATAAAATTTTTTTTTACATACTCTTCCAGTATAGGTTATTTTAAGATATTGAGTATAGTTCTATGTCTACTGTTATTTTGTATATAGAGGTCTGTATTGGTTAATTCCAAGTTTCTCGTCCCCCCTTACCTTTTGGTAACCATAAATTTGTTTTCTTTGGCTGTGAGTCTATTTCTGTTTTGTAAATAAGTTCATTTGTATAGTTTTTAAAGATGCATATAAGTGATAGCATATGCTATTTGTCTTTCTCTGATTTAATATGATAATCTCTAGGTCCATCCATGTTGCTGCAAATGGCATAATTTCATTCTTTTTTATGGCTGAGTAATATTCCATCATGTGTGTGTATGTGAATACCACATCTTCTTTATCCATTCGTCTGTCAGTGGACATTTAGGTTGCTTCCATGTCTTGGCTATTGTAAACAGCACTAGTAAACGTTTGGATGCATGTATGTTAATTCAAGTTAGAGTTGTCTTCAGTTATATGCCCAGGAGTGGGATTGCTGGATCATATGACAACTCTATTTTTAGTTTTTAAGGAACCTCTTTAGTGGTCTCCACAGTGGCTACACAAACCTACATTTCCCCCATTGTGTAGAATTCCTTTTTCTGCACACACTCTCCAACATTTTATTATTTGTAGACTTTTTAATGATGGCCATTTTGACTGGTGTGAGGTGATACCTCACTGTAGTTTTTTTTTTTTGCTTTTACTAATAGTTAACCATGTTAAGCATCTTTTCATGTGACTGTTGCCCATCTGTATGTCCTCTTTGGAGAAATATCTGTTTAGGTCTTCTGCCCATATACTGATTGGGTTATTTTTTTTATCTTCTTAAGCTGTATGAGCTGTTTGTATATTTTGGAAATTAATCTCTTGGTAACATTGTTTGCAAATATTTTTTATACTCTGTAGGTTGTCCTTTTATGGTTTCCTTTGCTTTGCAAAAGCTTTTAAGTTTAATTAGGCCCCATTTGTTTATTTTTGTTTTTATTTTCATTACTCTAGGAGACAGGTTCAAAAACATACTACTGTAATTTATGTCCGAAAGTGTCCTATCTTTTCCTCTAGGATCTTTATGGTATCTGGTCTTATATTTAGGTCTTTAATCCATTTTGAGTTTTTTATATGGTGTTCAAGATGTTCTAATTTCATTCTTTTACAGGTAGCTGCCTGGTTTTCCCAGCACCATTTATTGAAGAGACTTGTCTTTTCTTCACTGAATATTCTTGCTTCCTTTGTTGTAGATTAATTTTGACCATAAGTGAGTGAATTTACTTCTGGGCTTTCTGTTCTGTTTCACTGATCTAGTGTCTGTTCTTGTGCCAGTATCATACTGTTTTGATTACTGTAGCTTTGAAGTATAGTCTCAGGTCAAGGAGCCTGACTCCTCCAGCTATGTTCTTCTTTCTTAAGACTGTTTTGGCTATTAGGGGTCTTCTGTGTTTCCTAGAAATTTAAAAATTTTTTGTTCCAGATCTGTGAAAAATGCCATTGGTAATTTGATAGGGATCACATTGAATCTGTAGGTTGCCTTGGGTTATAGAGCCACTTTAACAATATTGATTCTTCCAATCCAAGAACATGGTACATCTTTTCATCCATCTACGTCTATAGTTTTTGGAGTACTGGTTTTTGCCTCCTTTGGTAAGTTTATTGCTAGGTATTTTATTATTTTTGATGTGATGGTAAATGGGATTGTTTCCTTAATTTCTATTTCTGCTATTTCGTTGTTAAGTGTATAGAAATGGAACAGGTTTCTAGATAGTAGTTGTGTATTTTGCAACTTTACTGATTCATTGATGAGCTCTGGTAGTTTTCTTGTGGCACCTTTAGGGTTTTCTGTGTATAGTATCATGTCACCTGCAAACAGTGACAGTGTTAGTTCTTCCTTTCCAATTTGGATTCCTTTTCTTCTCTGATCGTTGTATCTAGGATATCCAAAACTATTAGTCTGTTGAATAAAAGTGGCAAAAGTGGGCATCCTTGTCTTGTTCTTGATCTTAAGAGGGAATGCTTTCAGCTTTTCATCAGTGAGGATATTAGCTGTGGGTTTGGACGTGTGTTCAGATGTGTGTTCTGTGTCAGTCCTCTGAATTATAGATCCCAAGCTGGAACAGCCCAAGATGGGAGGCTGGATGACCAGTTCAGGGCTGTTGAGGTCATCTAGGTAAGAAAATGAGGAGGGCTGGAACTAGGGAGGTGATTTGGAGAGAGGGATAAGTATACAAATTGAGAGATATTAAAGGAAGCCAAATTGACGGGACTTGATGAATTAAGTGATATATAGAGGAGCAGGGGCAGTCAGGAAAAAACTCCCATTTCTAACCAGGGACTATGGGTGGATGCTGAAACAGTCACGAAGGAGACAGAGAAGTGGGTCAAGTTCATATTTGCATGTGTTGAGCCTGAGGTCTCTGTGGAACATCCTGGAAAAGATGTAC